AACGCGTCGGCCTGGAACTCGTACTTGCGGCTCAGGATGTTCATGAGCAGCTTGACGACGGTGTCCATGGGGGAGAGCGCATCGGAGAAGAGGATGAAGCCAATGATGATGGGGTGCTCCGTGAGGAAGCCAAAGTCGGCGTACAGGGAGTTGTTGCTGATGAAGACGGAGAAGAGGGCGAAGATGTAGAGGAAGTGGGCCTATCGCTGTTAGTGAATGCTGTTGCGCCGGTGGACTGCAGAGACATACCTGAGAGATGCCAAAGAGGCGCGTGGTGTGGCCGAGACTCCAGTGACCAAGCTCGTGAGCCAGAACGGCAACAACCTCCTGCGTCTCGCTCTTCTCAATGAGGGTGTCGTAGATGACAATGTGCTTCTTCCAGGGAAGACCGAAAAAGTAGGCGTTGCTGTGGGCGCTGCGCTTGCTTCCGTCAATCACATAGAGTTCGTGGAGGGGGAAGTTCAGGCTCTTGGCAAGGCTCTCAACGCCGTTCTTCAGTTCACCCTCTTCCAAAGGCGACAGCTTGTTGAATAGAGGCAGGATGGCGACCGGGTAGATTGTGATCATGAAGACTTGGAGACCAGCGGCGAAGGCCCAGAGGTAGAAGAAAAACTGGTTGCCCGTCTTCTTGACAATGGAGAGGAAGCCGGCAAGGATCGGGGGAGCGAGGACAAAGGCGAGGAGCTGAGACTTGATCATGTCGGTGATGAAGAGCTTGGGCGTCTGCTTGTTGAAGCCAAACTTCTCCTCCAGCACAAAGGTCTGGTAGATGGAGCTAGGCAGCGAGAGGACCTGCTGGATCATGATGAAGGCGAGGACGAAGACGATGGACTGAGATATCTCGCCGGTGAAGCGCGCCGGCGCGAACTTCAGCAACAGGTGACCGGACCATGACCAGAGCTTGGGGAGGACGTCGAACTGGATAAAGGCAATGTTCTGGATCTGACCCCAGAGACCGCTGATGAAACCGAATTCCGCTTTGGCGCGACCGTAAGCCTGAGACTTGTCGAAAACTTCCTGGGAGACTTCCTGTTCGAGAACCTTGGGGGGCTTGGTGTTTTTGAGGACCTGGTACTGGCGGAGCGAGAGGAAGCTCTCAAAGACGAACTGGCCGACCGAGAAGCCGAGGATGAGGCGCTTCCACGGGAAGAGGGGTCGGTCCAAGAACCGCGCGAGGCGTTGAAGGAAATCCATGTTGGCCTCTCTTTGCTTTTCTTCGGATTCCGGAGGGGTTGCAAAGGAGGGACAAGAATGGAATATATGGGATTGGAGATGAAAAGAAGCAGGCTCCGGACCTTGTCGCAAGCTGGGTCTGACAGCTCGTGCTTGGGTACGGAGTATTGTTAGCTCAGGCAAGCTGTCCACAGTGAGCCGGCGAATGGGACCAAGTGGGGGCGGGCTGGTGCGGTTCGGGGCCTGCGGCTGCCGGCAGGGTCGATCATTGGCTGCGAGGACTCCAGCTTACCCCAACTTTAATTGGCTGAAACACCCGCCTCATGCAATGTCTTGCGTGCAGACGAAAGCCCCGTCCGAACGGTGGAACCCCGTTTGATGCATGAGCGACGGGAACTGCCGTTGGATTGCAGGAAAGTCTTCCCGCAAAATCTCGAAGCTGTCGATAGTGTCACTTTGAGCTCCACGCCGCTCGACGACAACCATACAATTGCCGCCAAGATGATGCGCCAATCCATCACAGGCCTGACGAGAGCTGTTCTCGCCCGTCCGGCTACCCAGTTGGTGCGCGTCGTCATTCAATCGACATCACAAAGGTGTGCCTCAACCCCTTAGCAGTAGAGGTGAAGATAGTAACTAACCGGCACCATAGGACGTTCTCCTCCCTCCCCTCGCTGCGTCCGTCCATCACACCTCTCACATCCGCCTTCCGCCGGCCGAATGCCACGCCGTTCACTCCCTCGACCGTCGATGGCGCCGTTGCCGACTTGGTCCCCACGAGCGCCATCACCGAGCACCCTGCTCTGGGCGCCATGCAGCTCCGCTGCGGTCCTCGCAACACCATGAACCGCAACACCCGCCTGATCCAGAAGCGCAGACACGGCTTCGTTTCCCGCATGAAGACCAAGGACGGACGCAAGATCATTGCACGGAGGCGCCAGAAGGGCCGCACGAAGCTCGGCGTTTGAATGTAACGTGGGAGGATAGAGCTACGGAGAACCGTGGAAAGGACCGGACGACATTGCTGCAGATGAGGAGAGAAGGGCACGATTGTCCCAGACAGAGTTCTCAGGGATGGTGTGGCCAAGGTTGGGCATGGCCTAAGCCGGATTGAAGCAAGACTCCAACATTAGAGCCTCCGCGAGAGGTAGTGTTCAATATGTATCAATATGAAGCCAATGTATAACAACTCAACCAGTGGGTTTCAGGGAATTCGTTGAATTCTGCGGAAACAGCTAGCAGGGCTCGTGAGGCTGCTCGCTAGCCGTTGACATTTTCGGCATTGCGCAGGCCGCTGCACCCAATGGTCATTTTACGCATCTGTCTGCAAGGTTCGGGTCGAGACAGTGCTTCTCTGTGCCGAGAGTGAAGAGGTCATGTTCCTGGCCATGAGGCGCCCTTAGTCGCAGTCTCTTGGCCACGGCGGACGAGTATCAAGCACTGAGAAGCCATCAACGTAGCAAGACATTCTGTTCGGTCATCCTCGAATAGGCCCTGGCAAGTTCCATGACATATATCATTCTCTTGAAATTGCTAGCATCTGTTCAAAGCCGTTATGTCGTGCCCGCATCCTTTCCAACTGTACCCCTGCAGGGCTTAAAGGGAAGAAGCGGCCAGCAGCCTTGATCATCGGCAGCCCCTATCGTAATCCCGAAGCAAGCCGGACTTTTTCCCGCACAGCTGGCAATGTTATGATGCTTCTCAGACCTGCTTATCAGATATGGAAGACCTTTTGATCTTCCTGGACCTCAGCTGTACTCCGGACAGCATAGACAGTACAAAAAGAAAAGAAACGGTATCTCGATCTGTCCGGGTGTCACATGATTCGACGCGTCCAGGGATGGAGGGTTCCACGGCCCAGATCAACATTCGTCATAATTGGGCAAGCTCAAACGCGTTCTGCGCGCGTCGTCAGATGGAAACGCAAAGAACTCATAGCTCTGCAACTTTTTAACTTTCGATGGTACCATCCATCAGTGGCTCTACCTCACATGGAAGTCCTACGGTTCTCAAAAAGAAAACGGCTCCCCGTTCATAGTGCCATAGTTGAAGCTCTCTTGTTTCTTGTTTCCCACCTAGTGAAATAGCTATTCCCTGTGAGACTCACTTACACATTCATCCGTGCCCCAAGACAACCCCATAATGCCTCCTAAAAGACGCTCAACCGGAGCGGCGTCCGGTGCCAGTAAGAAGGCCAAGACGACGGCTCCCGAGGCCGAGGCCTCTTCACGTACACCCGCAGCTACCCCTGCTGATGACGACCGCGGTAAGAATCGCTGGCCAGCCAAGAATACTCGCTGGTCGGCGGTCTCGGCGTCGCGTAACGCCGATGAGGACTACAAAAAGGCTTGCGAGGAGGTTGCCTATGCCTTTGAGTACGTAGTCCGGTGTCCCTTTGGCACCAGGCATGGTGATGACGAGGAAGACGACGAGGATGACGAGGACGAAGAGGAGGACGAAGAAGAAGAGGAGAGGGAAGAGCCTCAAGCCAAGGGCAAGGGCAAGGCCAAGTCCAAAGTAGCCGACAAGAAGAAGGCCACCGCACAAGGCAAAGACAAAGACGAGCAGCAGCACCTCGCCTACGTCGAGCTCGAGAAGAAGAAGCCCAACCAGAAATGCGACGGCGGCAAGACGTGCGTCTGCGACAAGCCGGCGGCCGAGCACCCGGACGCGCCCTACGTGATCACACACGCCGGCTTCCGCAAGCTCATGAGCCAGCAGATTCATTGCCAGGTCCGCGACCCGGACAGCTTCCGCATGTACACGTACAACGACCACATAGCCTACGGCGTGCTGCAGGTGCTGCAGAACCTCGTCCTCGACTACGAGGAGGCGAAAGGGAACTGGCGGGAGCAGTGGGTTATCTGCGAGGCGCTGTGCCCGTTTGTTTGGTACCTGAATGGTGGTGACTTTGCCATGTAAGTTCAAGAGTCACGTTGTACTTCCTTCATTCCTCCTTGCTAGCACGTGGTACTGATACGATGAAATCCAGGGCCGACGACGGCGACTTCGTCGACGAAACAGCAAAACTCATCGGCAACCTCTTCCTCACAACCCTCGCCCGCCTCGAGCGCGAGGGCGTCCTGACCGCGGACTCGGAAGTAAAAGACCTGGGCTGCGTCATGGCCGGCATGCTCAAAGTCGCCTCCGCCTTACGCGGCTTCGACCTCTTGCAAGACGAGACAGTCCACAAAAAGTCCAAGAAGCGTCCTTTCCCCTTTACGGCGGAGAAATTCGACAGCTACGTTGCAGCGTACGCCAAGAAGCACGGCATCACGCTCAAGGGCGTCCCGGGGCTGAAGGCTCTCATTGAGGGTCTCGATAACGAGGAGGAGGAGCTGCCTACGGCCGAGGAACACGGCGAGGACCCCTGGGGGTGGGCGGATGCGCTGGCGTCGTATAAGAAGGGGAGGAAGATTGGCGGGGATGATTTGGATATCACGTCGTGGACGCCTGCGAAGCGGAAGCAGCATGCTTTTAACAAGAAGGATCCGCTTGGGAAGAAGGAGATTGACGCTATCAAGAATGGTATGGTTATGATGCTGGGTTAAGAGTTGGGGTTGATGACTTGTGTTGGATCAGGCGCAGGTTTGGGAGCTGCTTTTGTGATTGTAGTCTTGAGAGATACCACCCTTGTATTATTAAATTGGAACTGCTGAGATCAAATCCGAAAGTTTGACTATTTGACGACAGTTCCCATTGACGCCGCTCTTTCTACGGGAAACTCGATCCTAACGTTCTGGCCACTATCGGCTGACAACAATCAACCAACCCTACCGCAAGAGTTTGAAGGAGAGTTCAGAAGATCAACTGCACAAAAGAACAAATCAAACAGGGCTAGCCAGTCCAGCCTCACACGTCTTGGTATCCGTATAACAAGCCAAGAACAACTTGTCACTCGCCTCCCCGATCCAGATCTTATACCGCCCGGTAGGATTCGGCACAACCCAGTTCTGGCTGACCACATCCCACACGCTCAAATCCCGCCTCGTCAGCTGCAGCGTCACGGTAGCACTCTCCCCCGGCGCCAGGCTCTTCGTCTTGACAAAGTCGCGCAGCTGGATCACCGGCGTCTCGGGCCCGCCGCCGGGGAACTGCACGTACGCCTGCGCTGACGCTTTACCCGAGTACTTACTGCCCGTGTTGGTCACTTTCACCGACACGGAAAAGACAACGTCAAAGAGAGCGGGGTTGCCGCCCTGCGCGCCGCCGGCTGGAGGGCCCGGTTTCTGCACGGTGCTGTACCCCTCCGGGTAGGGATACGTCTCCGTCTTGGAGGCGGCGACGGCGTCCTTGGCCTCGGACTCGGTGCACCAGGAGTAGATATACCGGAAGATCTTGTTGAAGCCGGACGGCGCGACGCCCTCGGTCCAGTCGGGGATTGGCGCGGTGTACGTTAGGATCCCTTGCTTCGCGGGGCGGGTCGGCGGGGACGCGGTGAGCGCCGTCGCGGAGCTGATGGTCGCGCCGGTATAGGAGAAGGCGGTATAGCTCAGCCCGTGACCAAAGGCGAAGCGCGGCTTGATACCGTTCTTGTTGAGGTAGCGGTAGTCGATGTACAGGCCCTCGGAATAGGTGTCCTGGGGCTGGCCGAGGGAGCCGCCGACGAGCTGGGTCACGGAGTCTGGGAGGTCGGATTCCTTCTTGGTCATGCTGTAGGGGAGGTGGCCTGAGGGGGAGGCCGCGCCAAAGACGATGTTGGCGAGGGACTCACCTGCCTCCTGGCCGGGGAGGTGGGCAACCAGGACGGACTTGACGCTGGGAAGATCGATCCATGAGTCGACGACGATTGGTCCGACAGAGTGTATGACGACCACGACGTTTGAATACTTTGCGGCAGCGTCCTGGACCAACTTGTTGCCGTTGTGCCAGGCGTCGAGACCAGACGAGCTGCGGTCGCCGTTGTTACCCTCTACGACATACTGATTCTCCCCAGAGTCCGAGGTGATGAAAACGAAAGCAACATCGTCTGCTGTTGGAGCCGGCACGGAAGGAAAGGAGTCGGTGTTATAGAACGTCACGTTGCTGGCTCTCTTCTTGAACGCGGTGATGGGATCGTCGAGGTAGACGTAGTCAACCGTCCCCGAGCCCCAGCCGATGCCGAGCAGGCCCTTGTTGCAGGATCGATCGGCACAAGCGTTGGGGCCGTCTGGGTTCGTGATGGCATCGGTGCCAAAGACCTTGATCGAAGCCGACGTGGCAATAGGCAGAAGGCTGCCGTTGTTCTTGAGCAGGGTGATGGCCTCCTGCGCGACCTGCCTGGCGACGAGGTAGTGGTCCGCCTGCACCTGGACCATCTCGTTGATGACGCCGCTGGGGGAGAAGGGGATGGCTCCCGGGTAGAGATCTCCCACCCTGTTGCGGGTACCCGTGGCGAAGTTGAGCGCGGGGAAGCCCGAGTCCTGGCCCATCTGGTACCAGCTCGCCAGTACTCTGGTGGCCATGTCGTTGATGCGATCCACGGGGACGGATCCGTTCAGCACCGCCCTGGTGAGATCGTACATCCAGTAGCTGTAGCCCGTCAGGGGAACTTGCTGGTCGCCGGGGGCGTTGAAGTCCAGGCCCGCGAGGGCGCTGCCTACGCCGGACATGTGGGAAAGCCAGTCGCTCATGACGAAGCCTTGGAAGCCGAGCTCGTCTTTCAGAATGCCATTGATGAGATAGCTGTTCTGGCTGCATGCCGAGCCGTTGACCTGGATTCCGTTAGTTCAAGTTTTAATGATGTGTACGGAATACTTGCCGCATTGTAGGCCGTCATCACGGATCCTACACCTGCGTGTACGCCATCTGCAAAGGGCCACAGGTAGAGTTCATGGAGTGTTCGGTCATCTGTCGTTGTTAGTCAAGAGACCAAGCACTGTTTCTCCCTCTGTCGGTAACCAACCAATGTTGGAGCTATAACCCTGCTGTAGAGGGTTATACATGCGATACATCTCCTGCTCGTTGCCGATGAGGTGCTTGATCGTGGCGATGACGCCCTGCTCCTGGACGCCCTTGATCGTCAGAGCAGCAGCCTTGCCCTGCAGCGCAGGATCGGCCCCGAAGCCCTCCCAATTTCGGCCACCACGGGGCTTTCGATTGGCGTTATGGTTAGCTTGTTCTGGACGACATCATCAGGGGCAGAACATACCCTATGGGACCCACGGCTGGTCCTAGGTAAACGTTGGCGCCTTTGCCTCGGAATTCCTTGCCAATGGCAACACCGCGAGCGTACATCAGGTCCTTGTCAAAGGTGGCACCGGTCGTGATGCCGGACGGGAACACCGTCACGTTGTCGGCTTGACGGAGACCGGTTGCCGAGTCCGCGAGGCATAGCTGGGGGAAACCGACGCGCAAAGCGCTGCCGGAGTTTCCAACGCAGCGGCTTGGTTATGGTTAGCAGGAGTTATACATGTTGTGATGATAAACGCACCCTGTGCATGTCAGTTACGAATTCCACGACATCACTCCACCAAGACTCACCCATGAAGATGCCGGTTCCGGACGTGATGTTGGTCTTTTCAGCCAACGTCATCTTATCAACCACAGCTTTCGCCCTCTTATAACTGTCTGCCCAGTCCGAGGCCCAGCCGCCGTACGGCGCCGGGTAGTAGGGCGCGGCGACATATCCGGCAGGCACATCGGATCTTACTGATATCACGGCGGCGTCGCAGGATGAGATGTGACTAGCGAGGAGGGCTACGACCAGGGACTTGACAGAGAATGTGTTTGCCATGGCGGCGGTCGAATGGTCTCGTTACCGCAAGGCTCTTATAGGCTAGACTCGAACCAATGATACAGGTCACGAGAGAGAGAGAGAGCTACGTCAACACGAGCGGACGAACAGGAGCTACAGAAACTGCGACATCGCGAGCACCGCCATTCACTTATATACTACGCACGGAACATCTAGGATACTGGCGGACCGGTAGCTCTCACTTGTCATTATGACTATACACTCCAATCACGGGCCCTTACAGTCCGCGTGGTATAGAAGGCAAGTGACAACAGACGATCCGCTTGGCAGCTCCGTGGACTCTACTGACCGCAGGGATATGCAGCCATACCTGACAGCTCATGATGCCCTGATAGCTACCAGAAGGGTCCAAGAGCATTAGAAAAAGGCAGATATTGCAACGTATCAAGGTTGTGGGATGCTCCCTTTGGGCAGCTGTGCTGGATTGTTCGGGCCTATGCTTGTCAGATATGAGCGTTAGAGTGGTCGATCGACATGTCGCGTAGACAAAGTATGGTTTGATACGACAGCGCCAGCGATAAGTCAGTGCAAGGCGGGGGAAATACCACCCTTTTCGAGATTCTGTGCTGTAGTCTTTTGGTACAAAGGATCGATTCGGTGTCGAACCGGATTAGCGGCCGAAACCGCCTCGCTTCGGGCGGGAGTTGGTAGGTGGGAACCTGGGACTTGGAGTTAAGCGACGGCATTCGCAAGTCCCCGGGGAACAGTGACAGTTCAGAGTCGGGCTTTCCAGCGAGGGCGTTGAGAGGAGCGGTGGGTATGACAAGATTAAGCCGTGAAGAAGACCCACGCTGGAGGCCCAAAGGGTCGACAAGACGGCGATGATGACCGTAAATGTCGACATGGCCGATCCAAGGTGGCATGCAAAATGGATGTGAAGATCTCCCTTGTTACGTGCAGGGTGGGCGCTTGGTGGGAATTTCTGGCGAGCTGTGAGCGGTCAGCAAACTGTAAAAGGGAAAAATACTGCTCGTCCGGGCTCGGCTCCGACGCGGGGAGAGCTGTCAGTCTGTCAGGTTGTGGCCGGGCGTTGCATTGCGCGCGTGGTTCACTGGCAGGCCACAGATGTCTATTTCCTTGAATAAGTGCATATGCAGCATCGCAAATGGGTGTGTACCATCGGAGTGGTGGTACAAGACGGACCTTGTGATACCCCAAGAGGTCTCTGCCTGGGGTCTGCCACGTCCACTAGATCGAGTCCAGGGCACTGCTGAAATTAGGAAACTCGCAAGCGAAGAGCACCAGGCGGTCGGAAATCCCAAACTCGGTCCAGCGGCGAAGATCGATGGGGCAGGGGTCAGGGGTGACGGAGCGCAGATTTCGGCTCTTGTTCTGCACGGAAAACGGGAATCGACCAAAAGGCAAGGTCGGTGGAAGCGGCACGGCATGAACGGCAATCTTGGGAAGAAAGAAGGTCAAATGTCGGTTCGAGAGATGGCGCAGTGATAGTTGAACGAGATGTGTGGTAGTGTCCGATATGTCGTAGCTGATGGCTGCAACGTCGACTGGTCGTGAGGGGGAGGCATTGAGGATGTATTGGTCCAAGAGACCAGGTCCAAGAGACCAAGTGATGGAGGGCGAGGAAGAGGTCTCGTGGGCGCGGACTCCGGATGACAACCCTTCTTTCTAGAATGTCTCAACCCCGCGTTGCTAGGTCGACATCTGATCATCAGGTACGGGTGGCTCGCTGGGAAGAAGGGACGAATCGACGATGGACCGTTGACCGTTGGCCGTTGATCGTTAGAACTGGGAGGGTGTGGGGAGGTGGATGAAGGAGGGAGAGTCTGCTGTAGTGTAGGCACTAAGGTAGACAGACGTAGAGAGAAGCTGGCAAGGACGGCATCACGGCATGCATGAATGAAGCTGCCGCACACCTATCGTGTAGAGTCTAGAGACAAGAAGGAAGCTGCGAGATTCAGCTCCGAAGCTCCCAAGCTCCCAAGAGGCGGCAGGAAGCAGCATGACATAACGCTGCCGCCGACCCCAAGTCTCCAAGCCTTTTCATCCCACCTCCATCTCACTCTACCGTAATCTAGTGGCTTTGGTGTTGCATCTGCCATCCATCTCAGCTGCATCTTCCCGTCTTTAATCACATCCACATGCTTTTTCTTTGCAAATACTCTTGCCAATAGTCTGTAGGCGTACCTTAATGCCGACAACTATGGGCGTGATGGAACTTGTTCTGCCTGACCGACCTCCATACTCGATTGGGAGGAACGAACCGTGGTACGAGAGCATTCGTCCGCGTGATGCCTCGAGAACGGCTCTCCAGCGTAGAGGGCCGCGTATCACCACACGAGAATCCCGATTTGCTTTTACGTATCTTGGTCTTGGCTTTGGACTTGACTTACGACACTAATCGGAAAATTCAAACTCGCACAAGACCACATTGGCAGCATTTTGTTGAGCTCTTGCGGGCCTCGTCCAGGGACTCGCCCGGGGGCCGGCGGGCTTCTTCCAGCAATCGGCCGACCGCAATTGACCACCAGTTCGTTCGAACAAGGACCATTCGGCCAGCTTCATTAACAACTTGTTCCCGGTGCGGACGCTATTGTTTCGACAGAGCCCAACAGAAGTGGGAATTGCCCAGCTTCACCCCGGCTCGTCGCCGTCCAGGGACCATCCACTCAGTCGTCGTTGTTCAATGAGCGGCAAGCCCACTATGGGGGTGCTTGGCTCACGTGGCGCCAAATGACACCCCAGGATTGCAGAGTTCTTGAGCAGAAACTCTCATTGCTTGTCTCTCAGTCTCTGTCTTTGCACTACGGATACCCAAGGATCGAGATGTCTTTGTCTGACCGCACGGGCGCTTCCTTACCACCTTGACGGTCCATCAACCTCATCACACCCACGTGGATTCTGTTCCTCATGGTTGGACTGATTCAAGACCAATATCACTCGAGGCTTGCTACTAATCGCTCCGAACCGCTGACCTGCCACCAATACTTGGCTATAGCGGCCAGGGCCAGGTCTTGTCCTCTTGTCTGTCTGACGAGGCCACCCAATGGTCAAAGCTGTCTATCTCGCACTGCCGCCCCCCCGGTAGGACCTCTTGAGCTTGGCCCCCTGCTAGATGGAGTATGGAACCGCCTTCTCCAAGAACGCATCTCTTCCATTCGCAACTGGCGCTTCTAGTGCCGATTTCCGCCGCTCTGTGCCTGGCGAGATTGCTCTAACTTGCGGAGGAACTGCCAGAAACCGCAAAGTCTTGCGTATTGTTTGCTTTAGCGTGAGAAGTCTCACCCTGGCTCGCATATCCCCAATATCGAGGGGAGTTGCTTTGCTACCGGCCCCCAACCTCGCCCGAGCCATGAATGCTTGACTTGGAGGCATGGTGGACACTCACCGCAACCCTTACAACGGACCGTTGTCTGGGGTGTACGACTCGATGTCGATCCACTGGCCTCTTTACCCCGGTGCTCCGTTCGTTGCTCTCTTGGTTATGTATAAGACGTTGCGGCAGCGTGGAGGACGATTGCTTGCCTTGTCTCTCTGTTCGTTGTGCCTCACGAGAAAGTCCTCGAGTTCCGTCCCTGTTCCTGTTGTCTTGAGTTGCTTCCTCTACCGTCATCATGTTGGCCAAGCTGTCTCTTCTCCCTTTGCTGTCTGCCGCAGTCTCGGCATCTCCCCTCCTCGATGTCAGAGCCCCGGTGGCTGCTCTCGATGAGAGAGCCGTGACGGTGTCGAGCGCCGACCTGTCCAACTTTGAGTACTACGTTCAGGTAGGACATTGCCCAGACTTCTGACTTGGCCGCGTGCGCTAACATGTTACATAGATGGTGGCAGCAACCTCTTGCAACAGCGAGGCCGCCGCTGGTGCATCAATCACCTGCAGCGCCGATGCTTGCCCTGATGTCACCGCCAACGGAGGAAAGATTGTGGGAACCTTTTCGTAAGTTGACCAGATACTCTTGGCTTTTCACCTTTGACCTGAAGGTAACTAACGTGCTTCAGCGGTCTTGTCTCTGGCCTCCAAGGCTTTGTCGCCACGGATCCCGTGAGAAAGAACATTGTCATTGCCATCCGCGGCTCCAGCAACGTCCGCAACTGGATCACCAACATCCTATTCGGCTTCGACGACTGCGACTTTGTCGACGGCTGCAAGGTCCACACCGGCTTCGCAAACGGCTGGGACGAGATCAAGGACGCCCTTCTGGCCTCCGTCAAGTCCGCAAAGGCCGCCAACCCCAGCTACACCATCGTCGGCACCGGCCACTCCCTCGGCGGCGCCGTCGTGACCATCGCCGCCGCCGACCTCCGCCGCGACGGTTACCCCGTCGACATCTACACCTACGGCAGCCCCCGTGTAGGCAACGCCGCCTTCACCAACTTCGTCACCGCCCAGGCCGGCGCCGAGTACCGCGTCACCCACGTCGACGACCCCGTCCCCCGCCTGCCCCCCATCCTCTTCGGCTACCGCCACACTAGCCCCGAGTACTGGCTGTCCACCGGCAACGCCACCACCGTCGACTACGCCGTCGCCGACATCAAGGTATGCGAGGGCGCCGCCAACACAAAGTGCAACGGCGGCACCTTTGGCCTCGACGTCGACGCCCACCTGTACTACCTCCGCCGTACGGGCGCCTGCAGCACCGACGGCTTCGGCATCAAGGAGAGAGAGGAGGACATCTCGGACGAGGACCTCGCTGCGCGTCTGACGGCCTGGGCCCAGCAGGATATCGAGTACGCCGCGTCACTTGAGGAGTAAGGAGGACGACGGCATGCCGTATACACGAAAGAAAATTAAATGTCATGACCATGTTATGAAGGGCAGGGAAGCGGGCTTCTGGAGTTTTAGGGGAAGCATCATCATCATCATCATCAAAAAGGATACCATCAAGGGATATCCCCAAGCCATTGCGGCCAAAGGAGATATCGTCAAGACTATTCACGTACATAATTAGTATAGTACATAATCCACGCCCAGCGTCAACCTGGGCGTTGAACCACACCACTTCTTTCCTCTGAACAAGCTGTGAAATCAATGACCCTATCTGTGACGGTCAAAAGAGCCGTACCAGCACCGTCAGCACGATTCCACGAGTGGGACGCACCCCGGACGGGTACCGAGTCCGGACACACATAAACCCCCCCATGTCATCGACTGACTCGCAAGTCCCGTCAACTAAAAGACCGCGCGGTACCCGATCGAGCAAAGTTCGTATCCCATATTCCCAAACCGCGTGTTTTCCTTTGTTTCAGTCCCAGCCGTAGTACTAAGAATGGCAACGACGCGTTGGAACGGTTGTGTTACGTATATATTGGCCGCTTGGCATCGCGAACTATGGTACAGGATAGACTTTCCCAGAACGAACCATTCCACTCACCTGAAGCCTGTGGGGATTGAATAACCATTGGGAGTATCTTTCCGGGATTTCCAATACTCCGTACCCTGGTACATAAAGGCCCCTACATAACCCAGCGCCCACGTGCGGAGTTTGCGGATCATGGGCCCATGGGTGCTGACATTGCTGACCGGCCAGTTGATTATACGGCACTATATGGCTCCTCATAGTCACTAGCATTGCGATCAATATTTGCTGATACCTAATTTCTGAATCTATTGTCCAGATGGAGAAACAAAGAACCACCCAGCTGAACGCTGAGAGTATCTACCTAAAGTAATGGGCCACACCCATACACACAAGGTGTTCCATCCGTGAACCACGCCATATTTGTAAATCGAAAAGGGGTATAGGAAGAAGAGAACGACGCACGCCCGACTCCGATGATGGGGGCTGGGTACTACAGTCCCAATGTCCTTGTCCTTTCCGTCTGCCCTGCCTTGTCCTCAACGCCGCCCTGGGGGAAACCACAGAAATCCACTTTTTGCTGGAAAACACAATGATGAAAGAAAGTTTGCAGACGAGCTAAAAGTCTAAGAACCACGGAACAGGAATTGCATATCCTCGGGGCTCAGAGACTCCATGGCCTTGTCGTCCGCGTTGACGGTGGAGTTGATCATGTTGGTCTTCTTCTCCTGAATCAGCACCATGCGGCTCTCGACCGAGTCCTCGATGCAGAGACGGGTAATGGTGCAGGGGCGGGTTTGACCAATGCGGTGGCAACGATCGGCAGACTGCCACTCGGCGGCAGGGTTCCACCAACTGCATGTCATGTTAGCTGGGAACTTGATAGTGAGTATTGAGACATGTAACTTACGGGTCAACGATGAAGACGCGGGACGCCTCGGTGAGGTTGAGCGCGACACCACCGGCCTTGAGAGAGACGAGGAAGCACTCGCACTCCGTCTTGGTCATGAAGTGGTCGATGGACGCCTGGCGCTGCGCGGGGCTCATGCTGCCGTCAAGCATGACGGTGGTGATACCGGCGCGACGAAGACGCCACTCGATGAGCTGCAGCATGGATGAGAACTGTGAAAAGATGATGGACTTGTGCGAAGCATTGTCTGATCGAAGCTTGTGAAGCTCGTGGACGAGAAGCTCAATCTTGGAGGAAGAAGTCCATTCTTCCATCTTGATTCGATTGATAATCGAAGACTTCTTGACATCAGCCTCATTCTGCTCAATCTCGGGCTGCTCCAAGTCGAT